AAGAAGAAAACAATCATTTGAAGGAGCGTTGTATAAAGATTATAAATTCACAAATGGAAGCTATTGTATGCTATTACTATAGTGAATAAAGAGTATTATCTGTAAATCTGTGTTTGTGTGCACTAATGACATCTGACTGCCATCACCTGGAGGTGACTAGTAGTACATTTCAGTATAATGCTGCATACATACTACAAACTAGTACATATATACTACATCTACTATATCTTTTTCCATATTTGGGTCACTGTTGGTTTGTTTTAAATAAGTTTTGTTGTTGTTTTAGTTTTTTTGATGGCAAGCTGTTTGGACTGAAAGATTTTTTTTCCCTCAATTGCTAAATGTTGCCCCTCTCCATGGTGCTGAATTTAATGGTAAGTTATTGTAAACACACATTTTTTTCCATGTTTTAATGTGTAAAATTTAGACACTGAATAACATGACCGCACACTCGGATTACCCTTTACAACAACATAAAAAAATCTACAAAAGACAGACATTTGTCCCTCATCCCTTTGTCAACTTTAAACCACACTGAGATCAAAATACAATAAAAAAAAACATTTTTTTAAAATTGGAGGACAATGTCTTGCAGCTGAATGCTCCAATGCTCATATGAGACCACATGATGTGACATTCTTTTAAAAATTTTGCTGACAAAAAGCACCTTTCTCCAAAGTCAATATTATTCACACTTAAAAAATGACAAGCATTGAGAATGAGGAGATCCTTGTTTTATGCTTCTTGTTTGATGGACAGATGCATAGACGACAGAGGTTGCCTCTTCACGGCTTTTCATTTTTCGTGTAGGCTGGTGCGGAGAGACCTTCAGCGATGCATAATTTTCTATGTCTGCAGTCTAATAGGAGAATTATATCATTTTAACAATACTCAGTCCTAGTACTGTTATATATACTATTCTGAATGGTTTATAAATATCTTAAATGATTCATGTTCATAATTTTTATTTGACAGGCGAAGTTAATGCACTTTCCCACCATAGCTACATATAATGTAAAAGTATAAAGCTTACCTGGGTTGTAGACTGTACATGGTCAACACCTTAAAAAATGTATCATAAAAATGATAAAAGTGAATATACAGTGCTGCTTGAAAGTTTGTGAACCCTTAAGAATTTTCTATATTTCTGCATTTATATGACCTAAAAGATAAGATTTTCACACAAATCCTGAAAGTTGACAAATAGAACACAAATCAAACAATCGAGACAAAAATGTATACTTTGTCATGTATTTTTTTCTGGAAAATGAACCAATATTACATATCTTTGAGTGGCAAAACTATGTGAATCTCTAGGGTTGGCAGTTAATTTATTGGCAGTTAATGTCAGTGTGTGCCCTGTTTTATTCAAAGAACATGAATCTATCAAAGTCTGATCATGTTTGTGTAAGTGTTTCATGGCGTGAACAAAGCAGATCTCCGAGAACCTCAGAAAAAGAGTTGTTGTTGCTCATCAGGCTGGAAAATGAACAAAACCATCTCTAAAGAGTTTGGACTCCACAAATCCACAGCCAGATAGATTGTGCACAAATGGAGGAAATTCAAGACCATTGTTATCCTCCCCAGGAGTG